GTGATGCCACAGCACTCTACCCAGGGGGACAGCTTGAGACTCCGTCTCAAAAAAAAAAAAAAAGAGTGTCTTAGAGAAGAAAATTCTAGGTGAGGAATAGCAGTGTAAATACTCTGTGGTGAGTTTAGCTTCCCTTTGGGGGTCTCTGGTCATAGTTTGTAATTTTCCCCTTGTTTGTGAAATATTCTGACTATTTGTGTGACCATACAAAACCGTAAGTCCCTGAGGGAGGGCGATGCTACTTTGGGGTCCCCCAGCAGTTACCTAATAAGAGGCATTTGGTTGGAGCCTACCATTGGCTCCCTCTGGCCCTGTGCCAGGTGGAAAGGCCCCCGGCATAGCAGCCGCCTGAGTCTCATCCCCTTGGCCCCCAGGAGATTGACCCTAGCCTGGGCGTGGCGGAGCTGCCTGACGAGTTCTTCGAGGAGGACAACATGCTGAGCATGGGGAAGAAGATGATGCAGGAGGCCATGAGCGCCTTTCCTGGCATCGATGAGGCCATGAGCTATGCCGAGGTCATGAGGTCAGGCCCAGCCAGTGGGGGCGGGTGCTGCCCAGGGAAGAAGGGCTGCAGAGTGGGCCTAACCCCCATCTCCCCTAAGGCTGGTGAAGGGCATGAACTTCTCGGTGGTGGTGTTTGACACGGCGCCCACGGGACACACGCTGAGGCTTCTCAACTTCCCCACCATCGTGGAGCGGGGTCTGGGCCGTCTCATGCAGATCAAGAACCAAATCAGCCCCTTCATCTCACAGGCAGGCGAGATCCCAGGCATCCAGGCGTCTTGGAGCGGGAGTGTCCCCATACCCAAGATGTGCAGTAACAAAGGCCCTCCCCTAACCCCTTTTCCTATCTGAGTACTTCTCAGTGGGTGGGACAGAGATCTTCACTGGGGGGATGGGAGGAGACTATCTCCCCTACCTTGAGGGGAGGACTCAGTGTCTTTGCCCCTACCCACTAAGCGCCCCAGACAGAGCTTGGAAGCACAGAGCCAGGTGGCTTGATCAGATCCTCTGCATTTACTGGATCTGACCCAGGTGTGTGACCTGAACCAAGGCACTTTACCTCTCTGGACCTCACCTTCCTTGTCTGGCAAATGGATACCACAAGAATGTCCCTGTGGGTTATTGTGAGCTTGACGACCCCAAAACCACCATACTTCTGCACACTACCAGCACCATACACCCTTTGTGTGTGCAAGCACACATATTCACCCCCTTCAGGGACCTATGCCTTAGGTAGTAACATTTGTTGAGCACTTAACTGTGTTCAGGCATAGTTCTGAGCACATTACACGTGTCTGCTCAACTGCGTAAGCAGTTTTAGCATTAAGATTTATAGCTAGGCCCCAACTCCCAACCATGCCCCTCCCAAGCAATTCCTAAGCCCCGCTTTTGAGAAAATAAACAAATAAAACCCCACTAAAAAAAAAAAAAATTATAGCTAGGGAAATGGAGGTTCCTTGGCCGCCATTTCCCGGAAATGGCAGACCTGGGATTTGGGGAGTCTGCTTAAAGTCCCACAGCTTGAACCACTGAAGTCATCCTCTGTGTTTATTAAGCCTCCACGCCAGGGAGTTTAATGAGCCCCAGGTAAGCTGTGAGCCCTCATGAATCCTCCCCACAGATGTGCAACATGCTGGGCCTGGGGGACATGAATGCAGACCAGCTGGCCTCCAAGCTGGAGGAAACACTGCCTGTCATCCGCTCTGTCAGTGAACAGTTCAAGGACCCTGTGAGTCATGGTCTGGCAGGTGGTGAGAGGCTTGGGGGACAAGGACAGGGCTGGAGCCTGCCCCTCACTGCCCTTTCTTGTGCCTTTCAGGAGCAGACAACGTTTATCTGTGTATGCATTGCTGAGTTCCTGTCCCTATATGAAACAGAACGGTTGATCCAGGAGCTGGCCAAGTGCAAGATTGACACCCACAACATCATCGTCAACCAGCTTGTCTTCCCTGACCCTGAGAAACCCTGCAAAATGTGTGAGGCCCGCCACAAGATCCAAGCCAAGTACCTGGACCAGGTGTGCCCACCACCCTAGCCAAGGCACCTCTACCCTTTTATTATATTCTCTGGCCTTTTGCTCTACTTTCATACCCTCTGTCCCAACCTTCTACCCTTTGCCCCCACTTCATGTCCTTCATAGACCTTGGCAGACTGTGCCTGGCCTAAGTACCTACAGCCCTGGAGAGCAAGATGTCTAGCCCAGTGATCTCTGACCTTATTGACCCAACTCACACTTATGACACCCTGAAGCTTTTGCCCCATATTCTTTCTGTGACCCTGGGAGGCCCCTGGCCTGACCCTATATGGACCCACACCATTCTCTGCCCTCTGCCCTGGCTACAGATGGAGGACCTATATGAAGACTTCCACATCGTGAAGCTGCCACTGTTACCCCATGAGGTGCGGGGGGCAGACAAGGTCAACACCTTCTCAGCCCTCCTCCTGGAGCCCTACAAGCCCCCCAGTACCCAGTAGCATCACCACCAGCCACAGCTGCTGCCATTTCACACCTACCCTTCACCTTTCCCATCCTCCCAGGGCAGAGTTTGCACAAAGTCCCCCCATAGTGCAGGGGGAGCCACTTGGGGGGGGCAGGAGGCAGGGAGGGGGTCTGTTCCCCCTGGTGGGGCTAGTGGGGGCTCTACTTGCCCCCCACCTCTCCCTGTCTCTCCCTCTTCAATAAAATGATCTTAAATTGCAGTATTTTTTGGCATAGCAAGGTGGGGAGGTTTGCATTTAATTAATGTACAGTTGTCTAGGTTGTGCACTGCATAAAAGTATCACATTTAGAGGGATACATTCATGACAGACCTAACAGAGATACATGTTTATTGTGACAATTTTATAAGGAGAGTATTTTCAGTAAGGAAGTACCTTTTTCTTTGTCTTTCTTTTTTTCTTTTCTTTTTTTTTT